TTTCCCCCTCCCCACCCCCCACCTCCCAGGCTCTGGAGATATTGAATGAATTCTGGGGAAAGGGCTACTTTGTATCGACTAGGGCAAGGGTTAAATAGCTGTGGAAGAACCGTCCTGAACATGCGACAGGTGCCTGCTCCACAGCTCTCAGGAAGACTCGCGCCACTCTAGTAGGATAGCCCATCCTCTCTGTGGACAACAAGGAGTCCTTCGGCCTATGCCAAGGTAGGAATACAAACAGCAAGCCAATTAAAATGCTTATTTACCAATCAATCTGTTCCATTCACAGCCTCATGCATGCCCCCCCCCGCCCACCTGCCCAAGGTGTGGACTCCCACTGTGGTGGATTCCAGTGCTGGAGAAACCATCTCTCCTGGTAGACATGAACTTTGTCGTTGAAAGGAATAAAATGCCCCTTGCTGACATAAATAAATCTTGCTTTAATTTTCTTGGAAGAATCGTAACCCAGAAAGAGTGAGCAGTCCCCACAGGACCCTAATACCACGTAGCTAGGCATTTTAAACTGGCATGGAGAAAGGAAAGTGCACATCTCCCCAGAGACATCAACAAGGTCCGCTTCTACGCTTCCCCAAACCAAAGCTAACGCTGGGACTGACTCCTGAGGTCCAGTCATTTCCCAGAGCTGCTGGGGTTGGCCGGAGCCCTCCGGGACAGTTCTGAGCACCGTGACATCACCCACGGCACACCCACTTGGCTGGGTGGGTCTGGCGTGGACTTTGAACCTCACTGGAGTCATCCAGCTTCAATACAGTCTTAGTTCCTTCACAGAATTAACCATGAGTTTTGCTTTTCATACATATTATTGGGTTTTATTAATAAGATTCACAGATGTAGGTATAGCCTTTTAATTAAACCCAGTCTTCATTGTGCGATGGAAACAATATGGATTCAATCAATTCTTGTTCCTGATTGTCTGCTGTTTCTCTTTACTGTTTGAAAAGCCTTGATTTTCTATTTCTACTTTACTACTACTTTATTTTATGGGCCTTGTTCTATGCTTTATTAATCAAGACAAAGTCAAGTGAACCAGGGGGAAAAGATGGCCAGATAGATGGATGAGGGAGAACGCTTGGGAAGGGGTTGACTTATGCATTGAGCTGTGGGAAATGCCAGCCTACAGCTACGGAATGCAGACATACACGCTCCTATATGAATATACACACATGTGCACACACATTGCATACACTGTCCTTGGGAACACATGCTTACACAACAACCAAAATAACTAAAGCAAATATGCAACGTCTTTAGCATTTAACCTACAACCACTTTACATGGCATTATTTGCATTCATCCACATAACAATGTATGAAATATGTGATATTGTATTATTCCTGTTTTACCTTAAAGTGAAACCGGGGCACACCCAGGTTAAGTAACCTGAGCTACATTACACAGATGGTGAGTCTCAGAGCTTGGATGTGAACTTGGCTTCTCTGATGCTCTGTGTACATCCCAGAATGTGTGCAAAATGATTCATTGGTTTATGGGTGGTAATACTAGGCTCACACAGGTACTACCTAAAATATGAAAACTTGAAGCTTTACTAAGACTTAATGTACAGGCTGTTACGGGTGCCTCTCATACCCTGACCTGCATTTCAGATGACCATATGTCATCCATTGTAACGGGGGACATCCTGTGGGAGTCTGACAACAGACTCAGAGGGTGGGGCCCTCTCCCGTTAGCTCCCTTTCACAGATGATCACCTGCGTGTGGCTAAAAGAATTCTGTATAAATCATCTCATTTTAACTTAACTGTTAAAACACATAAGTGACTTAAGATGATTCAAGGTTCCTGCAAAGAAACCATTAATTCAAGATAGTACTTATAAAGGAAGCACAAGTCAAAAGAGAAAAATGACAGCAGTGACAGAGTGAGTGCCATTATCCCTGACAGCGAACCTCACCTTGAGTGTATAATAGGCCCTGAGATATAAGCTAAGCAGGGCGTGATGCCATTACACTTAGCAAGACATTTAAAAATCAAGGAAGTGATACATGAGAAGCGAGTCTCTATTGAGTCAAGATTCAAGGCAACCCAGTTTATTGTTTCATAAAAAATTCTATGATAATATAGCTTGAGTCACAGTAAAAATAAATAAATAAATACTAAGGCTGAAATAGTACATGTCAACACAGACAAACTGAGCTATACTTTGTAATGAGTAAGTACTTTTGGAACACAGCTGTCCCCCTTATCCATGGGGGACATGTTCTAAGACCCTCAGTAGGTGCCTGAAATTGTGAATAGTATGGAAACCTATATATACTTTGTTTTTTCTTATACATACAGACTATAATAAAGTTTAATTTATAAATTAGGCACTTGCCCCGCCACTGTCTGACTCAAACTATCTTATTGTACCATCCTCAGCTATTCACTTAAAGGAAGCGAGTTACAGCTTCTCATTGGCATATCCAAAGTGCCAGCATCACTACTGTTGCACTTTGGGGCCATTAGTAAGTAGCACAAGGGTGACAACATGAGCACTGTGACAGTGTGACATTGTGACAGTTGATTTGATCACCAAGATGGCTACAAAGGGACTAACAGCCATGATTCACCTCCCAGCAGGACAAAGTGGGGTGGTGCAAGGGTTCATCGCACTACTCTGGGCAGTGCAATTTAAGCTTTATGAATTGTTTATTTCTGGAATTTTCCATTGAATATTTTCAGCCTGTCATTGGGGATAACTGAAACCTTGGGGCGAAACCACGCATGAGGAGGGACTACTGTATATATCAAATCATTGTTGAAGATACAAGAAGTGCATATTGGAATGAATTCTGGGGTGCAGGAGGCCTGTTACACAGTTGGATAACAGTACGGCTGCTTCTAACCTGCCTCAGCCTGTGCTCACTTGCTACGTTCTCTCTGAATAACAAAATACATAAATAGGTAGCTTTCTGTTTACTGTTGTTGAGAAGTAAGGAAAGAGATACCATGGAAGGTAAGTTCTCAATAGTAAGTGGCATTTTTAAAAATAAAAGCAAGATTTTATGAAGCATTATGTTTAAATAACCAGTAATGAGGTAGGTACAGTCACAAAAAATATTTAAAAGGATCCCAAAGAAAAAACACACAGTAGCGTATTTAAAATTCATTCATTCCCTGCCCCACTCATCATTAAAACAAAGAAATTAAAAACAGGACAGGAGTGCATAAATGTCTAAGGACTGACAAAGTTAATTAAAAAAAATTTTAAAGGTATTTAAAAGATAACCACCCTATATCAGAATCCATGTACTGCATTTCAGTGAGATAGAGCTTCGTAGTGCAGGCCTTTTGTATCACAGAGAGGTGGTCAGTTATCGCATGGCAAAGAACTAGGAAAATGCAAGCTAGGTTACATACATTCTTTATAAAAATATAAGTGAGCCAACTTTGTTCACCTTTCCTGTGGCTGTAAAGAACTGTCAATAGTGTGTTATATAGAAAATATTTTTGAAAAAAAAATATATTCCATGTATTCACTTAACCTGTCTCTTAAAGGAAAAGTGATCTTTTTAAAATGATTGAGACAAAGAAATGCAAAAGGATCTTAAACTTATCAAAGGTACTCAATCTTTATCAAAATAAGAAAAAAAGAAAAAGAACTGTATGAAAATACCATTTCTCAAACGTAAGATTGGGAAAAATAGCCAAAAGTCTTTCGCCTACTCTGCCGGTGAGGCAAGAGGAGAAACTGCGGCTTTTAGCCATTGCTCGTGGGAAGGAAAAGTGGCACAGTGTGGGGAGGGGGATTTGCAAAGAGAAAAAGAAATATACATTTTCCCTTTGATACAGTAACCCCACTTCAAGGAATCTATCTTAATGATACTCTGACAAAACTATGAAAATATGTGTGCCCGCAAGTCTATTAGTTGTCGCAATATTTGTAACACAAAAATGAAAACTAAGTGTTCACCAATAAGAAAAAGTAAAGTATATACACACAATGGAATTCAGTGATGCTATTCTTTTAAATGGAGAAAATATCCATATATTACTAGGGAGTGATCTCCAGAATATAATATATATTGTAGAGTGGGAACAAAAGTAAGGTGGGGTAAAACATGCGCAGTATCCTACTTTACACTTAAGAAAGGCGTGACACAAACCCATATCAATATCATTAGTGATTTGTTTACATGTTTTTAAAATGGGAGATTTGTCAAAGAAAGTTTTACCTATGGGGAAGAAAAATATTGAAATGAAGAGGGATAAAACCTCTTTCTTTGAATGTAACTTGTTTTATAACTTTGAATTTGGAATTATGTTAATATGTTACATAATTATAAAACCAAAATAAATTTTAAAATCAATTCAATTAAAAATAAAATATGTATGTGATTGGTGACATAACTATACAGAAACTGTACATGATTCTATGTCCCTATAGGAATATACCCTAATGACAAAATCAACAACAAAAATCTTAACTTTATTTTCCGTAATCATGCTTTGGTGATAGTGTCGGTATTTTAATACTGATACTATTGTGTGTGAATTGTAACTTAAGACAAATGAGTAAATATGTTGATATCACTTAGTAACTAATTAGCATTTTTGCTAAGAGAAGAAGCAACAACAGTTGTAAGATTAGTGACTTTAAATAAAAATTCCATAACCCTGTATCTGAACTGGAAATGTCAGTATAACTAATATTGTACTTTATACTTTAAAAAAATAAACAAATGAACAAAAACATGTTTCCCAGCTCTTTCAACTAGGTCTAGAAACAGTGACCAACCTAGTATATATAATAGTATAGGCTTTCTTGTAATACTAGAAAGCCTACCTAATGTATATAAGTGGGGTAATTGTTCTATTTTTCTTAGTATGTTTAAATTTTTCTATAATGAGAAAGGTTTAAAATTTAAAAATCAGTGAGAAATAAACTGATTTTTAAAAGTACCTTGACTGTGAAAAGATTTGAAAATGGAGATTTAGAAATATTGCCATGTTGTACGGTTTTGTGAAGAAAGAGGATTTATCAATACAAAGTATCACCTAAAAACATGAAAAACAGAAACAGAATCTTCCAAACTTCAAATAAATGTTTCACTGACTTTTGAACTCTTGTTAAAAATATAAAAGCACAATACCTTTCAATGAGTTTTTCTTAACAATATATTGACATGTATGTCATGTAAATCTGAATTTAAAAATCATTGCACTGATGGCAGATAACATTTGAAAAATGACTATATCGTAATTTACAAAGTCAACAATGCAATTAGCTTCTTCCGTTTGGATCTGTGAAATAATTTTGATGTATATTTTTCAGCATTGATCAACATTAAAACTAAGTATTGAATAAACTGAACTTAAAAAAAAAACCTGCCCATTCAATAGAGGTATCACACAGTTTCCAGCCATAATTTTCAAAATTAGTGAAGCGTAATTACTCCTGCCGCAGTCGCTAGAAACAAATATATAATGAAATAGGGACCCTTACCTCACTCCACATATAAAAATTAACTCAAAATGGATCAATGACCTAAACACAAGAGCTCAGCTATTAAAAGAAAACATAGGGGTAAATTTTCATGACCTTGGATTTGGCAATGGTTTCTTACATTTGACACGAAAAGCACAAGCAACAACAGAAAAAAATAGATAAACTGAAGTTCATCAACATTAAAAACTTCTGTGTATCAAAGGACATTCTCACCAACCTATAGAATAGGAGACATGTTTGCAAATCATGGATCTGATAAGGGTCCAGTATCCAGAATACATCAAGAATGCTTTCTACTCAACAATAACAAGACAAAGAACCCAATTAAAAAATGTGCAAAGGACTTTAACAGGCATTTCTCCAGACAGATATTCAAATGGCAAACAAGCACATGAGAAGATATTCAACATTAGTGGTCATAAGGCAAATGCAAATCAAACCACAGTGAGATACCACTTCACACTTAATAGGAGGGCTATTAAAAAAACACTGAGAAATAACAGGTATTGATGAAAATATGAAGAAACAGGAATCCTTACAAGTCCCTGATGGTAACGCAAAATGTTGCAGCAGCTATGGAAAATCGTTGGGCAGCTCTTAGTTCTTCAAATGGGTAAACATACAATTACCACATGACACAGCATTATTCGGAATAACCAAATGGTGGAAAAAATGCAAGCGCCCATCAACAAATGAATGAATAAACAAATTGTCATATATGCAGATAACAGAATATTATTCAGCCATAAATGAAGATACATGTGACAACTTGGGTGAACTTCAAACACATTATGCTAAGTGAAAGAAGGCAGAAACAAAAGGTCACAGATGGCATGGTTCTTTTTACATGAAGCAGCCAGAAACGGCAAATCCACGGAGGCAGACTGTAGTGGTTGGTAGGAGATGGGGGCAAGGAGGTTTGGGGAGTGATTACTTAACGGATATGGGCTATTTTCCCAGGGTGAAGTAAAAGTTTTCAAACTAGAGAGTTGGGTGGTCACATTGTGACTGCACAAAATACCATCGAATTGTACACATTAAAATGGTTAAGTGTATGTTATGTGAATTTCACCTAAATTAAAACAGAAATACATGTAATAATAGTATGGTCCAAGGAAAGGATGTTTTGTAAATGCTGGAAGGTAAAGAAAATCTCAAATCTTTAATATTTGAGCTTTATTTCATTCTCCTTTCATTTCTTTTTAAATATATGTTCCTCCATACATATGTGTGTGAGCTCAAAATTTGTAGCAATAGGGGAGCATGATTTAAAACTGAGACACTGCCGCTCGAGATCCAGGGTAACAAACCTGCAACGCACAGGGTGAACCCACAGATGTGCTCTATGTACCTTGGCTGAATCATGTTTCGAATTTTATTTTCAATGCCTTTATGCAGGTTACGCGTTTGCTAATTCAATGCAATTCTTTCATACCTTAGCGTTGTATCTTTTTTTTTCTGATCCAAACAATGTTTCCTACCCAGCAATGATCAAATAGATATTTGCATTTTCAACCCTTCAGCTAAGGATTTGGTATATCTATATTTCACACCAATAGTTTGCCTTCTGTTCTTAATGAGAATTAAAAACAAGGTGAAAAAGTACTCAACTTACCCACACAGGGCAGGGAGTAGCCGAGCTCAGGGTCGTGGATAAACTGCCGGTCATTGAGTCTCGTCACGCAGTACAGGTGGAAGCAGTCTAAGCAAATCACGTGGCGGTTGTTGCACTGGAAAACCAGGACCGGGCTCCTGCGTGGACACAGAAGGACATTTTCTCTGGTGCCCGAGGGTGGAAAGGTGCCCTGTGCGGTAGGACACGTGGTAACCCCGTGGGGTGGCTTAGGGCGTGCTCTCTGTGAGTGAGGACCTGTTATTTGGCACTCAGCTCAGATGGTCATTGCTAGGTCTTAAAAACTGGAAGTACTCCACTAACTGTACAGAATGGTGATTTGCTTAATTTCATATTCTTTATGTTAACAGATTTACCAACCAGCTGTTTAAACCCAAGCTCAGATATACCCTCTTTATAGAAGCTTTCCCTGACTCATAATTCCCAATTAACCTACTAATCACCCCACACACTTACATATATTTCTATTGACCCATCATCACATCATAGTATTGAGAAGTCTCTCCTCTCTGATGGACCATGACTTCCTTGAAAGTGGACACTGTGCCTGCTTCACACTGATATTCTCATAGTGCCAGCATTGTAAGGTTTTAAATAGCTGTTCCTTGAATTTAATTTATAATAATATATATAGTCAGAAATTCCCCGAAATTAAAAGAAAGTTACCATTTGCAAAAGCAGGCATGTTATGTAGGAGCTCATATTTCATTTCAGTATTTCAAGTAGAAAAGTAGAATTCACAAATCAAAGATTTTCCATCAGAGACTCTACTATTACAACATTTTGTCTATTCTGCCACCCCCATCCTACCCAAGTATCCAATTTCTTAAATTAAGGTTAGGATATTATGAATGAATCAATATATATAAGTCCTAAAAATTTTGGATTCCTTTAAAACACTGCAGGGAAAAAAAAATCTCCTGAATACCACATTTTTTTTTTTTTGCTGGCAAATGAACCATACAATTTTATGACAAAAGGGAGACAGATTGAATATATTAATTTGAGATCAGCCCCAAGGCAATTTTAATAGTGAGAAAGTCATTGGAGTTTATTAGATAAGCCTATTCTGTATGCAATAATAACAAAATACAAAATAGCTCTCATTTGACACACAATTCCTAACAGATAAAAGAGTTCTTCAAAAGCCCTTTTCCCAGAAAAACGTATGTTAAACATTAATATTAGAAGGTAACTTTTTAACTATTAAAGGATTTTCAAAATTCGGTTTTCCTACTTATTTCAAAGGAATATCTAATACAAAACAAAATGAGGAAAAAAAACAACCTTGGTATTTTAATATCATGGATCTACAGGACAATGACCAACTTAATCTGAGCACGAGTGTCTGTCGCTAAATATTTTGATGGCTTCCATTTCCCATCTGAAGTCCTTTTAGGGACATCATTTCCATTTCCAGGGCCAATTTCAATGAAGCCTTGACTGTGTTCTGAACTTTCAGCCTACCCTTCCCCCCAACAGCTTTCCCTTGAAGATGATACAATGTAACACTTTCCTATGTCTCGTCTAAGAGTCACGCATGTGCACATGCACAAGAGCGCACACACTTTTTTATTCACTCTTTGCGACCCCTTTGAGCGGCTGTGTTTTACCTTCTCCTCTCACAGCCAAGTTCTGTGAAAAATAACGTCCATTCTGCCTTTAGCAACATGGTACAGACTTGGTATATAGACATGGTATAGTATAGAGCCTGTATAGACGCTTCAGATGCCGTTAATCTGCTATCAACCCATGGGAACCCAGGAGAAAATACTAGAACATTTATAAAAATGTACCTATATAGAACCAGGTTAAAAAGAAAGCTGAGCAATTACCCTGTAGAAGAAATAAAAAGAAAACTTAAAGCCACAGCAGTCAGCACATAAACTATTGTCACAGGGCCCCGGAGAGATGGTGAGGCACGTGGGGTGCAGCCCTTAGTCTCACAAATGAGTTCATTCCCATCCCTGTTAGGAGACTAGAAGAGTTCTCTTCCACACATGGACAGCGGGACACAATCACAGAGCTGCACTTCAGTTAAAATATTGCCCCAAAGAACCCAGACCATCTAGTCAACCCACAACACATTAATTGTTTGACTTTATGGATGGCATCCTGCTCCTTGGAACAGATCAGCAAGGAACGGTAAAAGCATCGGAGGCCGTGCTGTCAGGCGCAGCCTGTGCAAAGCCAGGGGACCACCACGTTCGGGAAGGTTTCAGAGGTCCGATGTTTGGGGCACAAACAGACACACCCAACGAAATGAAGGACAGTCGTCCACTGTGCCCCTCCCCCCACTGAGATGGCGCGTGAGGCCATCGCGGGCCCTGTGGCACCAGAGGCTCTGGTTCCCACAGAGAGAAGCACATCTTCCTGGGGTCATGGAAAGAGTCCCTAAAAAGTAAGCTGCAGTGGCACCAGCTCACTTCCACCTGCTGAAACTGAGACACAGGCAGGAAAGCAGACTGACCAAGCTGGCGGGGTAAGTGGCCTCGCCATCAGGGAGAGGACGGAGCTGTTACACGCGGGGCCTGGAGGGGTTCCCGGTATCAGGTGGTCAGTCCACTGGGACAGCTCGCCGCACTCCCTGGGGAGTTTTAACGCACAGGGACAGGGCAGCAGTTAAGGCCTGAGAAGTGCCTGGTGGCCAGGGCTTGAGGCCCTTTGAGGATTTACATGTTGTAGCAGCCAATAAGCCTTATTATTACAAAAAAATAAAAATAAAAAATAAGTATAGAGGCATCGAATGGCTTTAGAGAATGTTTACCTTGAGTAAAAATATACAGACACAGATGTATGTATTTCACATAGAATGATCAGCCTGTTAGATTTTTTATTGCATGGTAGTGATGAGGCAAGATTGATCTCTTATTAAGAACAACGTTAGTAATTATGAACAAGGTAGCAGGACACCCAGAGAAAGGTTATTAGATTAGTCATCTGAGTCACCTGAGAAAATAGGTACAAATCATCTCATGGATAGAGAGACTGTATCACTGACTTCCTGAGTGCTAGGTTAAAGAGGAAAGGGGGGAGCACTAGGATTTAGAAGCACCTCCTTGAGTTAGGAACCTTGCTCGGAACTTCACATGCTTTTCTCCATTTCATCCTCCTGAAACAAAGCGCCCCGACGGTACCACACCCCTGGTCCTCTCTCAGCCTCCATGCAGGCCAGTCGGCGTGCCCCCTGCCTACCCTAGCGTACCTCTAGTTCCTTTACTTCTAGACTCGTGCATTTTGTTGTCCATTCCTGCAGCATGCTACTAACTTTTATACTTCAATCAAAATTGCAAGGTCCAGTTCAAGACAAAAGACTCCAAGGAACCTTCTCAGGAGCCCAGCTCTTCACTGATTCGGGCCTTTTTCCTACCTTCCCCCGCAGAGCCCATCACGCACCTTTACTTTTATTCCACGTTTCATATGCACCACCTTAGCTGTCAGCATTGAATGAAAAGTCCTGAGGCCACAACAGAGGCCACACTTGACCGACGTGCATGTGGCTTGTGCCTCACCAAACACCGCGCCGAGCACATGACAGCGACGGAATCGACAGTTACTGGTTGTACCAGTGCATCCATGCACTGAGTGTTCTTATTTTATAATTTCTCTGCTCCCATTCGTACATTTTTTTACTCAGTTACTCATTGAGCAACTTGGCTACAGTGGCCCCTAACAAACACGTGTGGAATTCAGCACTGAGGGACTGAATAAACATCTTGTAGGCATAACTGGTGTGAGCACGGCTTTGGAAATTCATATGTATACAATCATGCGGCACACTCTGGGGACACGACACATATGTGGCACAAGTGTTACACGGAAGGCCACGTAGTCACCAGACAGTGGTGCCCCAGAGGTTAGGATGAGAGGGATGTACGAGTCAGGATGGCTCTATTAGGGAGCCTGAGCTGCACTGAAAGAAATGGGGAGCCAATTCTGGGTCATGGGGGAGACATGGGGTCTTTGGTGAGGAGTGGTAACACGGACATGGGGAAGGGTTCCTAGGACAGAAAAGCTCTCGATGGGCTAAGAGGCTGTGCCAGGAAGAGAGAGAGAGGAAAAGGGCTAGGGACAGAGGCGGCTCTGGCCAGGGGCAGTGGCCGCGGGGACTCTATGAGACCTACGGCGTGTGGCCTTAGGTCATGGCATTCCCTGATTCCCTGACGGCTCCGAAGCGTGGGGGGCGGGGGAGGGCGTGATGGTTCAGGAAGTTCAGTGCTGAGGAGAGTTCGGCGGGACAGAGGCTGGAAGTCATGAAAACTATTTGGAGGCCACTTTAACCACTCAGACCTGAGTCACTACCTAAGGAGCCCGACGATGGCATGCTGGTGGCTTCAGGAATGAGCCTGTGAAGATGGATAGGAGTGACATTTCTGAGAAGAATCTGCCAGAACTCAGCTTCTCTGGGGTCTTTGTTCTTCCTGACATTCCTCTGTGCCCTTTGCTCAAATTACATATAAATGTTAATTGATCAATCTAGAGAATGATTTTACCCCAGTGAGCTGGGGTACAGAGCTGTTAATCAAAGGGTACATAAAGTTCTCAATCATATGTAAAAGGAATTATAAATGCTGCACTTGACATTCCTGAAGAGTTATTTGTAAGCAATGGCTTCCCCGCTTTTATTAAAGGAGTGATCCGGAGGTCTTCTGACTCGCAGGCATAACTGAAGGACTCGTAGTAAAAACTATGGCAGGCATTCCTATAAATCACAGAGTGGACGATCATTACACAGTGGTCCAAACGTTTGAACTATTGTAGATCAGGTCTCTATTCTCTATAAAACAGCAACAGTTTTCATATTTATATGATAAAATGTGCAGTTTAATCTTCTTTCTACCTCATTTGTTCTTGTTCGTTCTCTCTCTCTCTCTCTCTCTCTCTCTCTCTCTCTCTCTCCCTCCCTGTCTCCCTCCTTCCCTCCCCATCTATCTATTTGCCAAAATCTATTTTTCTGTCTCTGTTTGTCTGCTTTTTTCTCACATACACATCTTCATTTATACCCATTAAGGGAGAGGCTGTGGTTATAAGTTATTCAGCTGAATGTGACACATATTGAATGGAATGTCCCAGAAATTTTTAGATATGAAAAGATAAGGAAGCAAGTCTAAACTCTAAA